GCTTTCCTTTGCCAGCCCATTCCCCATCCTCCTCCAGCTTGTGTTCCTTGAGCACCCCTAGGAAGATCCTACAGATCACTCAAGGACTCCGGCGACATCTTTTCACTGAGTGTCATTAAAGGGTTCTTGCAAAATATCTGGAGTCTGGTAGCCCCTTTCCAGCTTCTGCCTTTGAATCATATTGGTGAGTTGGAAACGAAGTAACCAAACCTCCTCCTGGTGTTTGGCTACTGGAGACTAACATGGCTCTCCTCCCCCAAGGAACCCTGTAAGCAATTCTGATCACATCACCTCAGAAAGCAGAGGAAAAAAAGAAGGCTGAGAACAAGAGAAGGGAACAAAGGAGTTGGAAGCAGCTGCCTGAGGAGCTTTGCTTACGACAATGGATGGGAACCTCTAGTCCTGAGTGCCCTGAACAAAACTGACCAGAGGACAAGGTGACCACCGACAAAGGAAGCCCCCACCTGCCCAGTGCCTTCCATGTTCCCTCTTGAACAAGACACCATCCAGCGTGCTCCAAGTGGGGGGGGTTTGCCTACCAGGATGGCTGAGCTGTTTGTTTATGCATTTTCTAAGGTTGGTAGCTTTTGCAAGACAGGAAGGTGTAACTGGAGTAGCCACTTTCCTGTCTGTGCTGACCGCCGGAGCAGCCGGTGCCCAAGAATCTATTTGCTCAGAGCCAGGAAGAGAGCGGAGGGAGAATGTCCTGTCTCCAAGGAGAACAGTTGGCATCGGTGGCTGCTTCCTGGGGAAGGCTTGGGAACACTTTCCCCTGCCAGTTGCTTCTCCAGGCCTGCTGCTGACACGGATTGCCCAACAGCCGGAGTGCTCCTGTCCAGGTTTTCTCCAGAACCCTCCTGTTGCTCCTAGCACAAAGGGGGCTAGCCAGGAAGCCCCATGGAAAAAGGGATGCGTGCAAAGGACCCTAGGCTCCGCAGCAGTAACAAGCTCGCTATTTTTCACTGAGTTTTAAAACAGCATTTCCCAACCGCAGCAACTTTTAAGATAGGGGGACTCCAACTCCCAGAATTCCCCAGCCGACCAAAGCTCAGCTAGGTCTGCCTTGATGCTCTCTCTGAATGTGGCAGGTTGGCATTTGTTTGAGGGTGCTCAGTTGGGACCCAGGAGTTGTTCATTCCAAAGGCCTTGAAGTTCCTAAGATATATCAAAGGCTTCTATGTTTTGCATTGTAAATACCTGGTTTGTGGAAAGAGACCCCCTTCCCCCAACCTGTTCTACCTCCCAATCTTGTGGTGGCACGTATTAAAACTGAGGAACCTCAGTGGAATTTGCTCTGCTCGGCCTTGCGAGAACAATGCAGAATGGTGTGTTAAGAGAGGGCCAGCTGGACAGAATTCAGTAGACAACAGAGCACCAAGGCCAGCTTCTCAGGTTGGAGCCCCCAACCCCCCTCCTGGGGTGTGGGGCAGCAGGGCTCCTCTCTGTGTCTGGATGAGGGAGGCGGCAGGCGATTGCTGGGAAGCTGCCAACTTGGTGGCCTGCTGCCCCGTGTGGAGATTACTGCCTCTACAGCCGTAACCCAGGCAAAGGACATTAGCATTATTCAACAGTGACAGATGTCCCAGCCTGGCTCCCCACCCCAAACCTTTTCTGAAGCATAAATGTCACTCCCTTGGCTCATACCTTGTCAAGCTCTACCTAGAGCATATGCCCAAGCAGCCACCCACACGAAGGGTCCTGCATTGTTGGAAGATGCTGGCAGCATTTCGGAGACAACTTGCTAAGCAATCTGCCACCTCCGCTTCCACTGAACAACGGGCACAGGCCGTCTTGGGCTCTCGGGCACCCACCGATCTGCCCAAGAGGCCCCAGCGCTGAGCAGGACAGTTCCAGGACTGTCAACCAAGCCCAGCTTCCACCGAGTGATCAGTGTTACCATTCCATCAAGGGGTGAAGGGGGCACACCTCAGGATAGTTTAAAAAACCCACCACACATATAAGCAAGGCAAAAACGTGCAGAACCCATAGCAGCACATTCCCTTGGTGGCTTGTCTGGATTTTAGAAGACAAAATACAGATATGACAGAGGTACCTCACCCCCAATTTTGCTAGGAAGCAGCTCTTGATCCCACTCGGAAAAACTGGTGAACTTCTAGCACTAAGACGGCACCCCAAAACATGATAGGGATGTGAATAAGATTTTTCCCCTCTGACCCCTTGCAAGCTCCTGAGTGCAGTGAAATCTTATGTGACCACTCTGGACGAACAGCCCGTTCTTCCTCCAGGAGCGTTTTCAACAGCTGGCAGCTGCCCCATTTTGCTCCCAGCCATTCAGATAAGCACCCCATTTCTGGGGCATCCCTTCTATCCCCCACTTTCCACGGCTGCATCCAAACACAGGAGGACACCCACCATGGCAAGTTTCTCCTTTTTTATTGAACCAATCTGTCCAAGCCGTTTATTTCTTCTTTTCCACGTCCTGCTCTGCTGCTTCCTTGGCTCGCTTGGCCCGGATGCCGAAGAGCCGAGCGTTTGCCCGGGCCATGCGCAGAGTGGCGAAGGCCTTGAAGTTCTTCTCTTCTTCCGAGATAACCCGGGCCTTCTCCTTTTTGTAGACCTACGAAAGGGAAGAGTTGCAACAGTCACTCACAGCAGATCCTCGACTTTTCTGCTTTTGACAGGTTGCCACCTGGGGCTCAACCGGCACGCTGGGCCTCATTCTATTAGCACAACTGCTCACATTGCCTGGATGAAGTTCTTAGTAGCAGGTTTGCCCAGGTTCAGTTATATTCAGCATTAAAGCTCTCCAGAAAATATTTTTCTTCGCAACCCACATGCTTCTAAATATGGCTAAGAGACTGAAAAGAAGCTGCCAGCTGACAAATAACTACAGAACTGCATGGTTCTGAAAAACTGCTTCTCAGAGCCATGAAAGTAGACCAAAAGAATTAAAAGATTGGAATGGGACCATGAGAGCCAATATAAGAAATGTCTTGTTTAGGGAAAAAAGATGGGTGAAGGATGCGTTAAGACAGGACAGAGATCTGCCGAACTAAACAAGATGAGGACAAAATTTATCTCCCAAATGAGTTAAACCCGGTGAAACTGCTTCTTCATATCAAGTATAACTTATGAAATTTAGTGCCATAATAAAATTTATTTACATTTATACAGCCACCCATCTTACATCCAACTCTGGACAGCTCCCAATCAACCATTAGAACTTAATATGTATCAATTAAGACCATAAATATTGAAAACCTGGCACCTAAGTTAAGCTTCCAACATTTGCGTTAAATCTTCTTGTGCACCTCACCCAATGCTTGGGGGAAAAGAGTATCTCTAAAGCACATGATAAGCCCACCTTCCCCACAAAAACACCAAAGGCAAAACTTAAAAAGCTTCAATTAAAAGTAGGAAACACCTCCTGGTTAGCAACAAATATTTGAGGAAAGATCTAGTAAATCCAGAAACCAGGGTCACTTACTGTTTTAATGGGCATAACTGGACCAGAGAGTTGTGTGGCCATCTTGAGTTCCTCTGCCTATAGAAACAAGGAAAGAATTAACAATAAGAGGCTATACACTTCTGTTACTGGGCTGCAAAAAAAGGAGAAAAAAAAGCAGTTTGGGGAGGAATGGCTGGTGATGGTGGGTCTGCAGCTGCTAGGATATCTAGAGGAAGCCAACTGCTAATCCATCGTTTTCATAAAAATGCTTTTGGTTAAGCAACCCACATGGAAAAAGGGTTGAAAATCACAATTACCTCTTGGGACCTACCTTCAAAATGGGCCAGCACCAAATGAGAATTATCCCCACTATAATTTACTGACCAAGGCACTTTAACAAAGTTCACGTAAGAAACTAGGCCAAAAGCATGACTCCAGATGGGCTTTTGAAGTTTCAGATCTTCCTTCAAAAACATGTTTTACATTTCACTTTGGTGCCACTTTTTCTGCTCCAATGCAGGCAAACTGTAACCTCCAGGGTGAGGAACTAATTACAAGGCTTAGCAATGGGCAATCCGGCTCCCCAAACACAAGCTGCAAAGAACCACTAGTGTCACCAGATGGAAAATCCATCAGGCCTCTAATTGAGTAGCAAGTCTGATACTCAAACTCTCAATGCAAACTCCTATCAGAATTAAGACTGAGATTTCTAATGTGCTTTACAATGCTCTTTGCTCCAACTTTTTATACAGAGACTCTGTCCTCACCGTGCTGTCTCCCTTCTTGGGTGCAGAAGACTTCCGGGGAAAGAGGATGAGTTTAGAGCGATATTCCTTCAGCCTTTGGACGTTGGCTTGCAAGGCTTCGGTAGACTTGTTCCGGCGCCTGGGGTCCACCGCGATACCAATTGTCTGGGCAAATTTCTTGTGGATACCAGCCATCTAGGGAGAGTCATGTGGACACAGGACTCAAACCTAGGCATGTCTGAATTGCTACTCCTGCTCCTTCTGAGGCAGGACAGTCATCAACTGGAAACGGGTTCAAAGCACCATTATCATGGAGCTGACAGGTATTTTGGGATGTCACCATTTGAATGTAAAGTTTTGACCACAAATGGCTTATTGGAGATAAGATAAGAGAATCACTGGCAAGATCTTGTTTAGTTTATCAGATTCTCTGAAAATAGATTGTCACACCAAGAAAAGTGGTCAAGGGAATTTCTAATATAAAAAGAAACCTCAGCACAGAATAACCCAGATTCTCAAATGATCTAGGCAAGACAACTCACTCACGGTATCCCCCACAGGCATTTCTCTCCCAGGCCTCCCCCTTCACTCACCCGGAGCTCTTCCAGGCTGAATCCTCTGCCCAAACGGACTTTTGTATGGTATCGCACGGTGGGACACTTCACGACTGGTCTAACTGGCCCAGATACTGGGCGAGGAGCAATATGGCGGGCTTTTGCCTGGCGGGCTTTTCTCCTGAGGGGAAAAGCAATAGAAAGGACTACATCAAGGCCTGCCTATTGTCTCTGGAGATGCATTATAGCAAAATCAAGCAAAGTGGTCACAAGGAGAAACAAGGCCACTGGGGTGAGGGGGGCAGCTACAATCATCAGTTTTATGGGTTCAAAGGATCATCAATGAAGTACAGCGATTCCGGAGAATTCTCATCATTTGGCTGTAGCAACAAAGCCCCTTCATATTATCCAGAGCCTGGGAACTGGATCAGCTCCGTGAGCTCACCTGCGGATCTTCCTGGCAGGCTGGTTAAACCATGTGGCCACTCGTCTTTGCCAGTCCTTATGGAAATGGGGCTTCAAGATCATGCCATTCCGGCTGGGCGCCATGCCTGCTTAGATCCCTGAAAATACAAAACCAGCTGGATCACCCTGCACGCCTTCTGGATACCATTTCAGCAGCCGCTTGATGGGAAACCTATTTCACTTTTCCCCAGCGGCTTCCCTTACACAGCGCCTGGCACGGCTTCCCACACATCAACAGGGAACACTCTCCCCCCCACACAGCTTGGCGGATGTTGCTGAACCGGAGCACGGAGAGGAATGAAACCCCTTCAACTGGCATTTCCTATCGCTTCATCTGCATTGATTGATGCCTGGAAATGCAGGCAGCGCTGATTGGTTTCCACGGGCTGGAGCAGTTGAAATGCACGCTCCCAACACCGCAGACTTGGAGGCCCACCGCCCCCCCTTCACGTGGCTCGGGGCTGCCCACGTCCGCGGGAGCCTCGCGCAAAGCAGGCGCTGCGAAGGAGGCGCCCGAAGGCCCGGCTCTTCGCGAACCTCTGGCGTCCCCGGAGAGGTGCGGGGGCCCGGCAGGCCCTTCGGAGGCCCCGGGCCGGCGCCCAGAGGCTTGCCCGCCCGGCCGCTGGTTCCAGCGCTGCCAGCTACGCCTCCGCCCGGCCTGCTCAGACGGACGGGGCCTCCTTGCAAGTAGGAGGGTCCCGGTGAGGGAGGCCCCGCCGGGTCGAGAAGCCCTTCGCTCCAAGTCGCAGCTCCGCTTCTCGCCCTGCGAGCCGCCGGAGCTCAGCCGCGAGGCCTTCCCGAGGCCGCCCGCGCGTCTCAAGGGTCGCCTCCGCAGCGCGGGGGTCGGATGGCGGCCGATGCGGACCCATCGCCAGCCCAGCGCAAGAACTCACCTCACGGGAGAGAAAATGGCCGGCCGGAAAAAGAAAGAGGCGGCGCGAAGGACGCCGGGATATGTTGCTGCCGCCGCATCCAAGCGCCCCGGAAGTACATTTACCGCGGCCAATCTACCCCAGCGCAATTGCCAATTTCTGTTTCCAGTCGCTTTGCCAGTCACAAAGATGGTGCTTAATTTAAAGGAGCCGTCGTGCTCACTTTTGTGGTTTCCATTGCACCGCCTTGTACCAAGCCAAAGAAATGCGGATCCTTTTTGCTAATCTGATGCCTTCCAGATCTAGTGGATTATACTCTCCCTCGATTTAGTAAGGCAATAGAAGAAGGGGACGACAGAGAATGAGATGACTGGAGTCACCGAAGCTGTAGGCGTGACTCCAGAAGATGGTAGAGGACAGGAAAGCCTAGAGGAACGTTGTCCATGGGGTCGCGACGGGTCGGACACGACTTCGCAACTCACAACAACAACGCCTTAGTAAATGTGCTGCTGGAAGGTGGGGGTTGTAGTCTGCAATATCTGGACAGCATCTGATGCAGGAAGAGTGGAATAGGTATTACAGAACGGGAGAGAGATGCTTGGCACGCAGCCATGTGTTGAAAGCATTCCCGAGACTAAAACTTATTCTGTTGCTCTAATTCAGGGGTGTCAAAACTGCCGGCCCGCGTCATGCCGAAACCGGGCCCACCTCATTGCCGGCAGTGGAAAAAAAGTCGCGACGCGTCACGTGGCATTGTGAATTTGACACCCCAGCTCTAATTCAGAAAAGAATTTTTATGTTTAGGGAGGAGGAAAACGCGGCTACATTTCCAGAGCACAAGGGCTGCCCGAGTTTCTTAAGCAACACGAAACCCCTGCTTGTTGCTGCAACAGGTACTTTTGTTAAAGGCACCATATTGGCCGAAACAATGGATCATGCTGAATAAGCAATGGAAATTGGCAATAAATAATATAATTATAATATAATAGGCAATTAGGTGCTTTTTGAATTTGTAATAAAGCATTTTAAATATTTGGACAACATGGAGTCCTTGGTGCTCTCTGAGCTTGATAGTTTGCTTGCAGACATTTAATTAACGAACTAGGCAACATCATCAGTGCCAGTGTGTGTGGGATTTGCACTGTTTATATACAGTAGCTCGCCCTGCGTGGGTGTGGTTTTCTTCTCGTCAGTTTCTTCATTAGGGTATTGTTTTCTGCTTGAATGTTTATTTGATGTTAATCACTGCTTCTCTGGGTGCTGCTGCTGGAGAGGATGTGTTCCAGTCTTTTTGTTTCCTTCTTAGTTTTATTATCTCTTTTAAATTCTGTGTAAATACTGGACAACGTACAATTGTTTAAAAGAATAGTGATCATATGGCACTAAATCATGATTTCACAAATGTAATAAACCCATTTTTGATGTAAAGAGGAAAATTCTAGAAAAAGCAAAAAACCCAAAGATAATATTGTTCAGAACAGAGAATAGAAAATGTGGTTTTGCCAGTTAAACCACCCCCTTAAAGTTCAACAATACTTGGATCTGCACTTCTGAATCTTTATTGAAATACAGCGGCCTGTTGAAAACAAAATACAAGATTATCCAGTGTAAAAAAAAAGCAATTACATGTATGTACCCTAAAATTCCACTTCATTTATGCTGCAGTTCCCAAATTTGACAAATGGGTTTTCATGAAGATGTTGCTAGGCTGCAGACAAGGGTAGGGAGCTTGTGGCCTCACTTTAGATGCTGCTGAGCCCCAATTCCCAGTATCTTTATCTCCCTTGCCAAGAACCATTTAATTGTGTTGCATGTGAATCAGATTTCCCTTGGGAAAAATGCCCAATATCACCAGGTAGGAACTGGGTGACTTAACCTGAATTCTCCACCAGAACAAATTGTGGTGCAGGTTCCTCAGCAGACCACCGGATGGCAGACACTGCTCACAGGAGGCAATGGAGCCTTGCAAAAGGGGGCGCTTATGTAGCAGAACTAAAATAGTTGCTTTTCTCAACTCTGCAATGCAAGGGCCTATTTTGAAACTGTAAAATGCCTCTGTGCATTGACATAGATCAGTGCGAGTGTACGAGCCAGAGTCCCTCTCCCATCCAAGTGCATGGGAAGGTGCTCCAGAGAGGAACCCAGCATCCTACTAGGAGAGATGGAAGTGAGATAATCCTGCAAGTGGCACACACTGCTTTGGACAGATGTGAACAAAAACAAGAACTGGGAACTACCATCTCCCACAGGAGATTCAAATTAACTTTGGGCAGAACCACCCACCAAAATTGGGCCTGTCCTCCTCCTCTCTGTAAGCAGCATCCAGATCTGTTGTTAAAGCTGGAGTAACCCTCGAGTTTACGATTTGGCCTGCCTATTGCCCACATCCAAACTGGGCAGGATTGAGGAGGCTTCCCAGCACTTCTACATTTGGAAGAAAAACCTGAATTCAACCGGCTACTCGCTTCATGCTCAGGTTTCAAACACAGTTCAGGTGAGGCTCCTGCTCCTCCTTGTAATTGGGCGACTGGGGAGGCTGCGGCTCTTCCTCTCCTCTGTCCTGCTTGTCTCTCTCTGCTTCAATCCAGCTCTGCGGGGAGATTGTTTTCTTGGGTCCGTGGGGGGGAGGGCCAAGAAGGGCTTCGATGTCATCGTAGTTGATCACTTCTTTCTCCAGCAGGGCATCTGCCAGCTAGAGAGGAAGGATTGGCAGACAATAAGTATGCCTCAGAAGCAGCTTCGGCATTTTCCACAGGCACCAAAAATGGAATGGGGACATGGTGCCCTGCAAATGAGCCCTCAGGGGCTCAAAGCAAGGGTCCCTGATAATGGGAAGGAACTGGCCCCAGCAGGCCCTCTAAAAATGCAGAGCTCTGGGGAAAGGTTTTCGCCCCTTCCCCATTTCCAAAGCTGGGTGTAGTTTTGTGGTCAGCTACAAAATGTTTTGCATCAGGGAAATCTGGCTCCCCTGACCTACGCATTCCAGCTGAGGAGCCTCCACTGCCAGAAACAACTGCCCAGAGCAGGGATTACTCTGCCAGTGGGAAAATTGAAAAGTGGCAAACCTGCCACATTTTCTTTTGGGAATGCAGGATATCTGGAATAACACGAGCTGCGTTTACTTTTGCATCATCTCCATCCAGATATTCCAGAATCAAATCACAGACCTGTCTGTTCTGGAAGAAAAACAAGATGCTCCAAAGACTTAGCACACCGACGTGAAATGTTTTGCTCATCCTTGGCAATCTCTTAGTTTCTGGCACTCCCCAGGTGTGGGATGACATGGGGCAGAATTCACCCTCTCTTTCCTTACACGGACCCTGCTAGCCCAGAAAAGGTAAAGTGGTGAGAATGTACGCCGTGGGCACGTGCAGCGTTGTGTAAGCAGGAGACAAAAGCTTCCTGCTCCTCCAGAGAGTATCTGGTCCACTTCAGAGTGCAGAAAGCCTCCCTTGGTTTCTTTGGCCTTTCGAGGCCTGGACAGGCTTTTCAAACCACTTTGCTTCTTGGCTCCAACGGCACAAAAGGGGGCACCTGCTGACATGGGACTGTCTTTGGGGTGCTGCAGTGAAGCCATCCTAGCAGAGGCCTGACCTCTTTGCCAGCTTTCAAGCAGGAGTGGTGGTATATATTTTTCTTTAATACCATACTTACTGAGATTCACTTTAACCACACAGGAGAAGCCAGAAGGGAGCAACTTGTTAGGAACTGACTGCCGGTCCTCTGCCAGGCTTTCATCCTCCCCAGCCACCTCCAGAACTGTATCAGAGCCTTACCATCTTCAGTTTGTCCCGGTTATCCATCAGCAGTTTCTCTGTGCGCCTATACGCTTGGGCTATCAGCAACTTCGCTTCCTAGGAAAGACGCCAAAAGATAACTATGGAAGGAATGGCAGCCACAGCTGGCTAAACCCACTGATCGCAACCTCTGCCCTTTCAGTGGAAGCTCCCCGCCAGGAGAAAAGGCAGCTGAGGATCCAGCATCCTGGCACTGACTGCCCAATAGGCAGAAATAGGCCACTTGATAATCTCCCTGCCTGGGAAGCTGCAACCGGGAGGGGTCCAGCTTCAGGAGACCTGCAACTAGAAATGAACCAGTCCCGCTTCCTCTGCGGCTCGGCCTCCCTGGGAGAGCTTACATGGTCCATCATTTGCTGGAACCCTTGGCTGAAGGGGCGCCGTCCAACCCCTGGGCCGCTTTCCCTCTCTGGGAAGGACAGATGGCCGATGGCCGGCATCATTCCGTATTGTTTCACCATCGAGTAGGCTATCCTGGTGACCTTCCGGAGGTCATCTTGGGCCCCTGGAGAAAGGCAGGAGGATAAAAACAAAGGCAGTGCTGGAAAAGTTTTAAAACACGGCCAAGGGGCCTTTTAAACTCCATCTGAAGGGAGGCACCCGCTGCCCCTGGGAGGCCAAGGCAACAAGTAGCTTCCTGGCCTTTTTCTGCGCAAGGCAGGCCCTCCTCACCTGTAGTCACTTTATTAAAGGTGATGGCTTCCGCGACTCTGCCCCCCAGCGCCATGCATATCCGCTCGAAGAGCTGATCCTTGGTTAGGAGGTACTGGTCCTTGGGCAGGATCTGGGCAAAACCCAGCGCAGCGTTTGTGCGGGGAGCTATGGACACCTGGGGCAGGAAAGGGAGAGGAGGAGGAAGAATCGTGAGTTAACCTGTTGCGCTCTGCAAATCTAGCTTCACGGCAGACAGACAGCTTACTTTCAATACTGCTTCGGTGTGCTCCAACAGCCAGCCCACCAAGGCGTGGCCCGATTCGTGGAACGCCACCACCCTCCGCTCCTCCTGTGAAAGGATCTTGTTCCTCTTGGCAGCTCCTGTGAAGGGGTGGGAGGAAAAGCTCTCTGTTTCTCAGGTTGTATTTCCAGCATCTCAAGGCCTCTCGCATCTCTTGAGTCATGAGGAGGCCAAGGAAGCGGAGAACAACACTTGCTTGAAGAAAGGCTTCCAAAGGGGTTGTTAGGCAACTACGCAAGTCCACAATCTCACACCTGAGACTTACGGATCCCTTTCCAGTTTTAACTGCCATTAAATGTTGCCTCACCGAAAGATATCCTTGCAGCCAAGAAACATCCCTGCATAAAAACTATGTCTCTGGTTAGAACCACACAAACGTCTTTCCCCGAAGACCCGGCTGCTTGGGTGAGGTTTCCCACCAGAAGGCCTCCAGTCGCCTTGCTCTGCCGCTCGTCCCCTACCAATTCCAGCAAGCGTGATTATTCTAGGCCAGCAACTGTGGAGACTCCCCAACTCAGAAAGGACTAAACTAGGCTCTGCTTCCATCAGAAGATCTTTACTGCAACAGAAATGCCAATAAACAACCCCCAACCTTGGCTAGCAGTCTGGGAGCTCATATCCGTCCACTGGTGTTTACAGCTCCTATCAAAGCCAAGCGACCTCCGGCAGGTTGTTCCCCAAGCGCAGCATGATCAGAGACAATGATTACTCACCAGGGCCCTGTGGTCCACCCCAGATCCCAAATGAACCAGGACTGAGACCCAAAGTGCTTTGCTCGGCCGGTGACCCCTTAGGTGGCTCTCCCAGCCGAGCTCTCCTCCCAAATCTAGGCTGAAGCACACGACTGCTCTCCCCACAAGCCGCCAGAAAAGAACAAAGAAACCTTACCTGCAATTACTCTCTCCACAGCGCACTCAAAACTGATCGTGTCGATGGATTTGTATCCCTCTCTGGCAGCGTGGAGAGCCGCCTCGTTACAAATGTTGGCAATATCAGCTCCTGCGGAGAGAACGCCACCTCTCTTGTTCGGCTTCCAGAGCATCGAACCCACATTGTCCGGCAGAGCCCAGTGCAAGAAGAGAGGCAAAGGGCAAGAAAGCCAACCATCCACTCTTGCCAACCCAGCTTGGAAGGCAGTTCCAGGCAGCCAGTCAGCCCCTTGAGTTGGGGGCAGCCCTCTTTGCCTGGTCATCCAAGCTGCTAGGTCTCACCCTGGTTCCTTTAGCTGCCTCTTTCCCTACCTGCAGGAATAGAGGCTGTGCAGCCTCCTCTTGCAGGATCTGATCTCAACTGTGAATTAATCCATTGTTCCATTAAGAGTTTCTTCTCGCCTACCTAATCTTCAAAAACCTCAATTCTGGGCTATATTTCACGGCATGGCAAATCTTCGGGTTTCCTAAAGGCTCGGGATTTACAGAAGCCCCTCACACTTGGGCTCTGATTGCTCGCCTTTTAAAAGAGCAGCGTTTTTTTTCTTCCAGGAAAGGCCGTGGAGCCTCTTGGCCACATCAAAGTAGCTGGATGAGGCGAGGGAAACGTAGCTGACAGAATTGGCTTGTTTTCAAGTTGTGCAAGGTAATAAAACACTTTTTATTTAACACCTGGCAAAATTTAAGCTAGAGAAACACTGCAGAAAATGGCTTCTGGATTTCTTTCCCAATTCTTTACTGTCAGTGACCACAGATGGCATCAGTATTTTATTTTGTGTAATGAAGTAATGCATTTGGATGTGTGCGTGTGTTTTGTGTGGAAGTGTGAACTGAGAAGCCCAGAGGTGGCTGTGTAAGATTTATCATGTGACTGGGATGAGGCTAGGAAGGGGCAGCCGCAACTGTGTGAATTGCTACCCCCCCCCCAATGCACCAGGGAGAGCCGTTTCTGCCCTCTTTTCATCTGGAGCCCCAGCTGGATCCAGCCCCTTTTTAATCCTCCTTCTGCCAGTCTGCCCCCCATCCCAATGAATTTGTCCCTGTTCAGTTTTTGGAGATTGTCCTGCTGATGGACAGACAGGCACTTCCTAGCACCTTTATTAATTTCTTACTAATATCTTTCGATAAGAGGATGACAATAATTTTTACAAACCTTTCTGCCTCATTTACCAGAATGATCTTTGGGAATGTCTATGATTTTCATTTCCATGACTTTTCCTCCAGGGACTTGAGGCTTTGCCTGTGCTTCCCTTTGAGCATGGCGACCAGTTCAAAGACAAGGGGAATTTGGATCATGGTCTCCCCATGCTGGGGGACACTCCAGCCCCTGCAGCTGGCAGATTTCGCAGGCCCTTTACAGCTGGCACCTCATCAATCCCCCTCTGCCTTGGAAGGTATTTATGATCTTCCCCACTTCAATAGTCCTTAGTTTTCGCTTCTCTATTTAAACCTCATTCATTACTAGCATCAGGGATTTTTCTCTAAAAGCTTTTTTTTAAATTAACCATGGGATTTTATTTAAATGTTTAAAAACTCAGAAAATAAGATCATCAAAAGAAAAGAAAAGCAGGCCGCCTGGTGTGGGAATGTGGAAGTGGGTTGGAAGGAGGTTTCTGCAAATGAGAAACAGGCTTTTTAAGGAGGGAGCAGACGGGGGGGGGGGGCTACTGATTGTGCTGTCTAAGCAGGATTCAAACCGCAGGCCAGGCCTGGCTGCCCACACAGAGGTGCTCCACATCTGGGCAGCAAGGAGTTAATCGGGCCCAAGCACAGGGTGCTCCCAGGAGGGAGGGGGGCCAGGAGAACCAGGAGAACCCAGACTGAAATGGCCCTGATGTGACTGCAGAGTTTGCTGGGGAAGAGGAGGAACATCTGTTCTGAGTTGGGGTGTGTGGGCCGAGTGGACAACAGCAAAGTGGCAACCGCAACAGGATGGGGGCTGGGCTGGGTGGGAATGCAGAGGGGACTCCTTGCTCTCTGTCCCAACAGGAAACGTCCCCATAGCCCTGCGGGGGGGGGGGGGGCTGGGGGGGCTGGATCTTGTTCCCCTGCCACGTACCGCTGAAGCCTGGGGTGAGTTCAGCCAACCGCTGGGAGTAGAAGCTGCTGGGCTGGGACAGCTTCAGCCCCTTCAGGTGTTGCTCGAAGATCTCCCTTCTCTCCTACAAAGAGCAGAGCAGACGTGTTGCTGAAGACACCAGTGGGGCCAGCAGAGCCTCCAGAAGGGAGGGGACTCTCTCCAGACCTGGAGGGCAAAGGAGGGCTGGCCCTCAGCTCTCCCAAAGGCCCTCAGCCGGGCCATCCCCAGAGCGCCTGTCTGGGTCTCGGACCGAACAGATGGCCCAGGCTGTCTCAGATGCAATGGACACTGACCCTGGCTGAGGCTGCTCCAGGCCCAGCCAGCCAACCCTGCCCTCCTTGCCCAGGAGAGCAAAGGGAAGAGCCTGCTGAGATGGGCGCCCCTCTTTCCCCCAAAGGCTGCATGTGGCTCTCATCATCCCGCTTTTGGTTACTTCGGTTCATCCCAAGCCTGCACCAAGATAGCGAATCCAGACTCACAAACGCTCCCTTTCCCTCGATGCATGAATGAAAGGAAGGAAATGGGGGCGGGGGGGGGATCAGGTTGGCTCTGTGCCAGTGTGACTCATTTGGCCGGTTACAATAGCCCCAATTAGAGCATCGGGCTCAGTTGCCAGGATTTCCTGCTCCTTCTTCCTTCAGGGCAGCTGTGCGGTTTGAGCTCCTGGTGCCAGATCGGATCAGGCATCTGAGGAATTTTAGGCCCAAACAGAGAGCCAACAGAAAGGGCAGCTTGGCCAGGAAAGGGACAAGGAGCTGCTGCTTTCCTTGAAAGAGGGGAGCCCCAAAGAAAAAACGCAGTAGGGGTCTTGCTACTGAGGGACACCCCTTTTCCCCGAGTTCAGTGCCAGTTCTAGGGAGAGCAGAGAAGGCTCCAACTCTCTTTGCAGTCCCACCTTCCTCAGCCCGAAGGAAAGGAGCAACAAACTGTTTAGGCTCCTGGCTTTGAACAAGCATCTGAATCACACAGATTCAGAGTGAATAATCACAACAAGGAAAGTGGGGCGTTCGAGGCAGATGACAGCCCGTGTGGAGTTGGAGACTTTTGATTCAAGAATCCAGGGGTGCACCTTCCTCAACTTCCATTATAATACCTGCAGAGTGGGCAGATCAATAAAAATGTGACGATCAAGCCTCCCAGGTCTCATGAGAGCGTTATCCAGGATATCAGCTCGGTTGGTGGATGCCAGCACGATGACGTGGTCTGTGGTCCCCATCCCTGCAGAAGAGAAATGGTGGAACCTCAGAAACAACAAAGATGGCCAAAGGTGCCAGAGATGCCCTTCTCTGGGTCATGGGCACAGCTGCAATACAATCCAGTGTGGATGCTGGACCAAGATGCTGGAGGGAGGAAGTTACAAGAGGGAGGCGCTTGTAAACCTTTGGGGGGGGGGAACCCGAGTTATATAATTATAAAGTATAGAATGTCTCTTTAAACCACTTTCCTGCACTCTTCAACTGAAAACACAACACAGACATTGGTGTAATCGGGAAAATACTCCCCAGTCTTTGCAGACAACTCCATCTGTAAAGACACTGCCCGTTCTGGGCCTTACATTGCCATATTCAGCCCACAATTTTCCCCACCACTCAGCATCAGCCAACATTTCAGAATAAGAGAGTTGGAAGGGGCCTTGGAGGTCTTCTAGTCCAACCCCCTGCTCAAGCAGGAAACTCTATACCATTTCAGACAAAGGGCTGTCCAGTCTCTTCTTAAAAGCCTCCAGTGATGGAGCACCCTCAAAGAGGGGCTTCCTGACCCTCCCCAGCTTGGCTATCTGAACGCTTGGGCTCTTACAAAGGGCAGTAACAGCATTTCAAAGCACGGTGCAAACATAAAGCAGAAGAACCCACAGAAGCTTCAGGAACAAAGAGAGCCAAACGTGCTCAGAGGAGGGAATTAGGCAGTTGACTCAGCATTCACATGCCAGTACCTGAGCTTGACTCATTCTCAACCAGCCTGAGCAGAAATCCTTCTAAAGGCAGAGGTTCGTTTTTGCTTACAGCTCTATAAACCCAGAAATACGGTTCAATCGATCCAGAAGACCAAGCAGGCAGTGGCTGGGGCTGCCACTTCTGACGTGCATAAGACTGAGCATTTCTTTAATTCAGGCCATGCTGCTTCCATGGAGGCCGCCCTCATCATCAGCCTCTAGCTGCAGGAGAGAAGACCCTCCGTCTTCCCAGCACTCCATGTGCCTCCCTTCCCCGAAGTGACTCAGACTTTAAAAAGAATCCCAGAAAACAGGAAGGGGCAGGGTTCTCCTCCTGCCCGAGCAGGGCGACTCTCTGGGAGAAGCGCTGGAGAGTCAGAGCCAAAGGAGCTCCCTGAATTGCTCCGCTTCCCCAGGAGAGACATGAACTGCTCATCTTGGGCTGCGCGTCTCCCTGTCCAGCAGCGTCAAATGCAGCCAGCACTGATGCTCCCCTTCCCTTCCCTCCCCAACAAACGGAAATTCATCCAAGGAGAGGCAGCAGAGGAAAACGTCAGGCCTGACAATGAAGGGAAGTCCAGACCTCCAGATTGAAGGAAACAGGCAGCAGCTTGGGAGAATGATCCAGAAATGGAGCGGGGAGGGAAGAGGCATACTGGAGGGTAAATGCCATATTAGGAGAGGCGAATTTCCCTTTGGGGTGAGGTGGGAATAAAAGACTCCAGACTTCAAAATCAAACTCTTTGCCATGAAAAACTGACCGTCCATTTCTACCAGCAGCTGGTTCAGGGTTTGCTCCTCTTCTGTGTTGGAGAAGCCAGACATGTTTGTCGAGCGCCTTTTCCCAACCGCGTCTATTTCATCTATATAAACGATGCACGGAGCACAAGCCCGGGCTTCCTTGAAGAGACTCCGCACGCGGGCAGCGCCAAGGCCTGCAAATGGGCAAAGTGGGAGTTAGCTCTGACCGAGGGATTTTCTAGATTGCATCCGAGGGAGGGAGACTGGGCTCCCAAGAGCTTCTGCTCCTGTTGGTTGGGACGCTCACAGCTCTCAGCCCAACAAAACCACAGGTTGCTGGGTGTTTCTAGCCAGGAGTGGGCAGAGAGCAAAGTAGCACCAGGGGAGCAACCCAGGAAGCTTGGCTAGTCAAAGTCCCGGGGCCACCCAATCCTCCCAGAGAATTTGGGGCTGCAGCAGAAGATTTCTAAGGTCAGAGATGGTGGAGGAGCAGGAAGTGGGAAGCAGGTAGGAGGGAACAGCAGCAGATCAGTGACAATCCACACAAGCATCTTTATGAGAAAACTGGTTCAGGTCCTCTGGGAAACATCTCCTTCCACGGGCGGCCCCACAACTGAGAAAGGGGGACTCACCACCAATCACCTCCACAAATTCGGAGCCAGCTATTGCCAGGAATGGCACCTGGGCCTCTGTAGCCACCGCTTTTGCCAGCAAGGTCTTGCCGCAGCCTGGTGGTCCAAGCAAAAGGGCACCTCTGGGCACCTTGGCACCCAGCTGGAGGAAGCGCTCCGGACTCTAGAACCAAAAGAAAGGGATGGAGCAGAGCACACTCGAGAAACAAGGCGTTGTTCTCTTTCCCACAGGTGCAGCAGGAGGCTAAAGATATTTTGCAGTCTCCCCAACAGACTCTCGTTTGAAAGCATCTTGGGATGAGCAAAGGCCCAGCCATTCTAGAGGAAACAAAAACTGGTTTGCAGTTTCCCCCAACAATTCCCTGTCCTCGGCCTTCCTGCTTCCCAAGGGAAGTTATGTCATTTACCTTCAGATAATCCACAAATTCTTTGACTTCCATCTTGGCCTCGTGCAGGCCTGCCACATCCTTGAAACTGATCCCTTTCCCAGATTTGCCATCCACGATTGTGAAGCGAGCCCTTTTTAGCTGATTCTGCCAAGGAGGGGGAGAAGAAAGCAAGCTCTGAGCCCTTCTGTCTTGTGGCGCTTGGAGGGAAGGAAAGTTCAGACACGGACAGCAAGAGGCCTGTGGCGCCTGGCGCAAGCCCCGCGTCTCCCCCCCCAGGACAAAGCCTAGGACCTAGGTGGTGCTACTTCCTGCTTTCCATCCCAAGCTGGGGCTGTACTGGCTGCTGCCCTCCGAGTGGGTACCAGGGAGCCGTGGGGAACCCTCAGCTGAACATGTACCTCGCAATCAAGTACAGAGATGCCCATCTACCTTTTAGATGGAAGGGCTGGTGGGGGTTTCCTGAACCCTAAGCATGCTTTAAATGAAGTGTGCAGCCCCCAGACGCCAAAAGTGCTGCCTCTCAAAGGGTCTGATGATTGGGGCCCATGGAACAGCCCTGAAAACAGCAGGCATCGCATTCCGGCCTCTTCCGAGCCGGAGTGATGGGCAAAACCACTATTTACCTGAAACTGCAACACGGCCGATTATTATCCTCTGCGGAGCTGATCTTTCAGCTCTGCTCCCAGATGGGCTCTGACAACAGGACAGGAAATGCAGCCCCCGAGAGGAAGGGGAGCCAGCCTTGTGAGTCAGTAGAGAGTTTGGAAACAGTTCTTCCCTCTGGGCTCCCCACCCCTCGGAGGCTCTAGGGGAGAACTGCTGGGCAGTCTGGTTTGGAGGCACAGTTCCCACATCCTTGGAGGGGCAGACAGCTGGGGAAGGCTCAGTTCAGAGTGCTTCCCCAGCCAGGCACATGACCCCCGGCGGGAGGGGAAGGGAGCTGCTGTCCTAAAGCACAGGCAGGAGTGAGGGCTGAGAACGGCTGCAGGGAAGACCAGAGCAACTTATGCCGAGCTGGATTGACTAATAAACTGCACACTCTTTTGACATGCAGAGGTCTGCAGACTTGCTCCAGGTAGGACACTGGCTGTGGCAGTCCCTGGAGCTCAGCCTTCCCACCTGAGGGGAAAAGGACTCCCTTTTCGCACACACCCCTGTATAGGAAGCTGAACAGCAGGCAACCCCAATAGAGCAAGATGGAGCCCCAGACTGCCCAGTCTCTGACCACCCCCATCTGGAGGATGTCAACCCCCCCCCATGGTGAGGCTACTTACGAAGGCACTGAAGGCGCCCTCCCTTCCTGATATGCCAGCCAGCCGAAAAATGTACCATAGAATGCCAACGCTCACTACAGTCATTCCCAAGGTGTAGAGGGCACTGCCAAGACAGGAGCACAAGAGGGTCAGGCCTCAGCAGCTGGAGACAGGTCTGAGTTTGGTGAGCCAAAAACACAGTAGAAAACTGGATTTCTTGATTTACAAAATAAATCCAGTACGGAGCATGGGTTTTGGATGATTGTAAATACTTTGGCTGCACGCTCACTTAATATTTCCAAAAGAGGAAAAATAGGTCCCTTGCAACTTTAGTTTGGTGGGAAGACTCAAAGGAAAATCTATGCCAGCCCATTGCAACAAAGTGGTGTGTGTCTGTGTCTTTCCGCAGGAGCCTCTGGTGACCCGGCCAAGAGGCAGAGTTTGCTGCCAGTGACAGACCACCAAGCCACTCCCAGGCACCAGGGCTTCCAGTTACAAAACTGGACATTTCCCCACGAACTCCTTTGCTCAGGCTGAGCCCTGGTCCTGGTCTCTGCGGCCTCCTATGGAAATCAGGTCCTCCATTATGAAGATGTGTGATTCCACTGTGGGTCGGACAATTCGGGCCAGTCCATGGAGAATCTGTCCTAGACCTCATCTTCAGGATAGGCCATTAGTGCTCAGCACCCATTCTGGTTATTGTGCACCCCAAAATCAAAGTGCAGACAAGCAACTGGGAGGGAGGCGGACCAGAGAGGCTGCCGGGTGGGGACCATTCAAGCCCTCCCTCCTAAGCTCTCCGTACTTTCCAAAGAAGCTGCTGCGCCTGTAAGAGACGGGGATCCGGTCGTTTAGGTCGATGTTCAGCTCCTCTTCGGCTGCTCGCAATTTCTCCTCAAACTTGTCAATGTTTGCCACCTTCATCACATAGGTCAGGCTCAGCTTCTGTAAGACACAAAAAGGAGCCAGGTGGAGAAACCCCAGCCAGGTGAGCCTCAGAGAAGGAAATGGAGGGCTGCCTCTGAAAACAGCCCAACAAGGCAAAAATGGCTTCTTGACCTGCCTGACCTTCCAGCCTGTCAACATCCAGTCCTACTTGAAGTCTGGGTCAAAATGATTTAAAAACAACAACAACAACAACCCAAGGCTAAAGTGATTCAGAACAATTACAATCAATCTTTTGGCTATTCAAATATTAACATGCCATATTCTTTGTATCTGGAGTTTTCCACCAGTTAACTCCTGAACTGAAAATTATCTAGATCCATCCAAAGCTCAAATGTTTTAGCTTAAGACTTTGGTCAAATGCTTTAGCTACGTTCTATCTAGGAAGCCCTTCAAGTGATCAAGGTGATCAAGGAAGACATATAAGCCATTGACTTCCTTTATTTCTCACATTAATTTCACTTAATGAAATTATTCAGAAAAACATAAAAACTTCACAAAATGGGAGGAGAGGAAGAGGAAGTAATTATTATTTATTGAATTTATATCCCGCCCTTCTCCTTGCGGACTCAGGGCGGCTGACAATCAGTTAAAAAATACACCAATAACAATTACAAAATTAAAATTAGTTAAAAAGAAATATTTAAATGTTGTCTAATTAAAATATGATTAAAAACCCCTCTAAAAATTGCCCTAGGCCAGTCCCGCAAGCTGGAATAACCAAGTCTTGAGGGCGCGGCGGAAGGAAGGGAGATCAGGGATCACCCTGATCTCTGGGGGCAGCTCATTCCAGAGGGTGGGAGCTCCCACAGAGAAGGCCCTCCCCCTTGGGGTCGCCAGCCGGCACTGTCTGGCCGACGGCACCCTGAGGAGACCCACCCTGTGGGAGCGTACTGGCCGATGGGAGGTAATCTGTGGCAGAAGTAATTGTGACTGAAGGATTTTGGCTACTGATTTAAAAGCTCAGGGGCCACAGGGGCCTTTCCCAACGTACGAAGGGCCAGCCTTGCGGGAAAGGACACTCACTGGCCAGCCAAAGACTACGGCTCCTGGGTGCAAGTAGATTTCCACGATTTCACTCTCCGGCACCACCTGCACACTCTGGACCTCCCCCTTGGCCAGCAGCTCATTCACAAAGTCGTTCCAGGAGATGTTGCCCGCACTGCTGGTCAGCGAGTTCAGCAGGCTCATGATGATGGCAATGAAGAAGAGGACCTTCAGCCGCTCACGATACATCTGGTCTTCCCTCTCTCGGCGTCTCTTTTCCTCTGGAGAGAGGAAACATAAGAGCACACCAGGATGAACGTTACAACAAGCTGATTATGCCTTGGGCTACAGTCTGCCTCCCCAGCCTGTTTTTTGTTCTACATTTCAGCCTTCCTTAGAAAACAAAGCTGGGCTAGAAATCTAGCATCTGGTTTGCAGAACAGGATTGTGTTTCAGCCATTGCCCGGCCTAAATGGAGGGAGGCCAGAGGGGGCTGGGCAGCTGGAAAGGCCTATTCAGGCCAGGCCAAGGGCTGGGGAGCCGAAAACCTTAGGGAGCTACCTAGCTGGAATTCCAGCCCTGGTCCTCAGCAGGCAAGGGGGCTTTTATTCTCAGACAAAAGTAGACAAAGCCACAAAAGGAAAAGACAAAGCGTGTATTTTTGTTTTAGGAACAGCCAGAACAGCATGGCTGCCTTCTGCTGCCACCATTGCCAAGGGGAAGGCTGCAGATAGGGCAGCTTTGCAATGACTGCCATTACTTCTGAAACTCTCCCAGGAATCACAGGGAAGGAACCTTTTGCCCCCTTTTCTCCTGGGAACCTAGCCGCAGTACTCTAGTTTTAAACCATGGCTTAGCACTACAGAAGCTGCTGAGAAAGGCAGATTTCTGGCAGTTCAAAACTCTTAACAAACAAACAGGCTACATTGGCTTCTAAACCACCTAGCACTACTATGACCTCAAACCATTCACACATGCTGGGCTTGTAGCAGAACCTCCATTAGCAGTGGAAGGAAAAAGGGCTTCATAGTAACAGCATCTGATGGTTCCCAATCTCAGCCTCCTTCCAGACCCCGGACAGCAGGATCCTGTCTTTAGCAGGTCAAGCCTTTTTCCTGGCCATGTTTGAGAACCAGCCTCCTCCTTGGGGCCCACATCTGCATGGCTTCAGGGCCATCTAGCAAACCTCAGAGCTCTCTCTTTTTTAAACAGTTTAGAATTAACAGGTGAAATGGCTTTCCTTCCCAGAGAAAAGCCCACTGCCCATAATTCAGACTCCCCAGTACGTGGCTGCACTGGGTCACAAAATCTATCTGCGGTGCTTTCAATCAGATTCCCAAACAACACATTTGTGAGCAAACAAAGGCATTTGTCAGCAGGGCCAACCCATTAAACTGGACACCCAACAAGAGTGACGGGGCAGAGGTGCAGCCTTCTCTTGATAGCACGTGGGGGCTGGGGCTGGATTTTGCCAGGAAATGGTGACTGAAAAACAGAGCTTCACCAGGGCTGAAGAGCAGCCACAGCAGCCATTTTCAGGCCCCTCACGCTTTTGGCTTGCAACACACTGGGCAGTTTTCCCTTATCAGGAGGGTTCAGGTGCCTGAGCCAAATCACCCCCCTCCCTCCAGCTCTCCCACAAGAGAGCTCAGAGTCAGAAAGCAGAGCTGGCAAAGACACAAAGAGAGAATCCAGAGACTTCAGGAGGCAGAAAGTGATACGGCCCAGCAGGGAATCTCTCAGGAGGTCCCTTTTATTCCAAAGGCAGCAGGAGTAGGCATCCTCTGGAGGCAGGAAGGTGACAGCCTCTCCCTTGAAAAGTTTGTTGTCAGAGGCTGCTGTCAAAGGTCAGCCCATCTACCAGCTAAAAGGAGACTGGAGCAGCAGCCAAGCTGCCTTGTTGTTTTCAGGCACTCCCAGAACAAAATGCTCCTCTGACCAGAGATTTTGCGGGACTTAGTAGCTTGCACCATTTTAAATCACAAGCAGTTTAAAAGCCCTTTCATCCTGCGCTGTGTCTCAGATGGCTGGCCTCACCTCTAAGGAGGCCACAGGAGGCTCAGGAAACAAGGCGGTCCACTGCCAAGGCCTCTTTGGACAGCTGCCCTTGCAGCCTGGAAGGGCCTCGGAGCTCAGCGCTCTCCACCAGTAACACCGCCTGGCTGGATCAGAGGAATCTCCCCTCCAGCAGTCAGAGCAGATGCTGCCCTTATGTTCTTTGCTCAGAGGGAGCCCCAGACCCATTACTTGCTCTCTCTCCAAGGCAAGCCAGGATCCAGGCTCTGCCCTGGGAAAATTCGGAGAAGCCAACTGGCCAGAGAAGACCTCTTACAAAAGCCCTTGTCCCTGGCCTAGACAGACATTCTTCTTTCAAGCAGCTCCGTACCCTTTTAAACTGGACTGTATGGGAGGAGAGCCATTTCTTCCATTATTGGCAAATATATAGAAGTTACAGTAAGAATGTTTCCGAGTAACCATGAGTTGCTAGCTTCATTTGAATCCTGCTTTTCCCAGTGGATGTACAAATTACTTAATGGTTATGAGAGACCTAGAATCACCTTCTCCTGGCCCACCCTCTTTCAAGCATGTTGTTTCCAGTCTGTAAAACCCAAATTGCAATAATGGCCTCCTGGGGATTGCGTTAGAGAAACTCATGAAGAAGGGTGGAGGGTTTTATATGGATCATAATTGTTCGCATGTTTCTGGGCAAACACTGCTGAAGAGACCCAGCTTGTTTAGAATAATTTAAGATGGAGAGAGATCTGAGCTGGATGGGAGGCTATGTAGGTTGACAGAAAAGAGAAAAGAGAAGACAAATATACTTCCCCAAACTGAAACTGCATATAAATCCAAACTTACCCTCATCTTCCTTTGGGGATTTCCCTTTGGGCTTTCCCCCACTTCGGTCATTGCGATGAGAACCAGAGGTAGAAAAATAGCAGCAGGTGCCACCAGTAAGGAAACCCGCAGTCAAGGCCAGGTACCTCTGATCTGTTTGGCACAAAGAAGAGCCAGGAGTGCAGAATTGCTCAGCTGTCATTCCAAAACAAGCAGAGTTTCTCAGAGTTCCAAATGAAGGGTACAGGTTTGGCTTAACTGTTAGCACCCAAAAGCAGAGACAGGACCTACAGCTCCATCAGAAGGCCCTTTCAACTATTGCCTGGTTAACCATTTCAGTGGGGCAGGAGGCAGCACAAATGGGAACGAAGGCAGGCCCACTGTCAACCTGGGTTCAGGAGAAACTTCAGTGAGTTCCTCCTTCCTCCAGAACCATTTCAAAGCATCCTATGTGAGCTGCTTCTTCAAGGACTGTTTGGACACCCACGATGTGACATTAAGTGGGGAGAGGGGCGGGGGGGGGGGGGGGAAGAAGAGCTGCTTTGTTCCAGTGCCCCAACTGGGCCAGGATGCTAATCTTGTTGTGCCAGATACAAACCCAGAAACATGCTCAGGCATTTTAAACCATTTTATGAAACAGAGAGCTCTCTGACCAGCCTCTTTTAGGCATTGTATGAATTGTATTGCTGTAGTCGATTTTTTTTTTAAATTACTGTTTTCACTGTAGAATAGCATTTTTAGGGCACCCAGTATATCTATCATAAGGGGAGGAGTGATATAAAAACATTTAAGTGAAAGTTAATGCTGCCTGGGTTTTCACCTCTATATCCTCATTCCTTATCCCTTTTTTTTTTCTTCTCCACAGAGCAACTCTGGGGCAAAGATGGAATCCTCCCGGGGATCTTCTGCGGGCTCTTCCGCAGGGGAGGTTGCAAAGGGCGGCCGGGCACTGCCCGGCCTCAGCCTCTTGAGTGGGCTGGAACCAGAGGAAAGAGAAGCTGCTTCTGGGATCAAACAATGGCGAAGAGGGGACCCCGACAACCACCCCGGCCGAAAGGACCCCCCCCCCGCTTCCCTCTCTCTGGGCAGAAGCCCCGCAGCCCCCGTTGCCCAGGGAGGCTCCTGTTTATTTTACTGTCGATGTCATTTCTGAGCCGCCCGTCTCACCCGCAGCCCCGGGGCGGTTGGAAAACCGAGCGGAAGAAAAACCGTGGGGAAAGCCGTCAACCCAGCCTTGGAAATAGAAACAGATCCCCTTAAAATGGGGAAGGGGGGCTTCCCCTCCCAGTCGGGATGGATCCGCTTTGGGGGCTTCCGAGGAGGGCGCGACGCTTCCTACTCACCCAGCAGCCTCCACAGCCGGGCGGGGGTCCAGGCGGTCCGGGTCCAGCAGCACCCCGAGAGCGCGGCGGACGGCCAGGGCTGAAAGGCAGGGCGGGGGCAGGTCAGGGAAGCCCGTCCGCTTGCCGGAAGGTCGTCGCCTGGCCTGCGCTCCGCGGGGGGGCGGCGGGCCAGAGTCCTCCGAGCGCTGCCCGGGAGGCGAGCCCCGGGCCGGAGGAGGCCGCGGCCCCCGCGCTGGAGCAGCAGCAGCGAGGCGGCGCCCGTCATCCCCGGGCAGACAGGCCGCGCGACGGGAAGGCAGCGGCCATCTAGGAAGCGGGCAGCCCGCTCTCAAGATGGCCGCCGCCGCCCTGCCGGGAAACCCCGTACCGCCACCTGGCGGGGGGGGAACGAGGGCGAGGCCCGTCTGCAGCCTTCAAAGGAGGGGACGGGACTGCGGCCTCGTTGCCCCTTCACAGGTGGCGAAAGGGGGCTGGCCGGGCCCCATGGGTCTTGTGGTGCCGCAGTCCGCCCTTCACCCCTCCCTCCGCCCCCGGGCCTGCAACCCTCGGCTGGCGGGTGAGAGCAGAGGGCGGCGGGCGGCGGGGGGCAGCGCTTCTCTTTCGAGTCTTCTTCTGTCTGGAGCTGCCGGGTGACTGGAGGAGAAGCCCACCCCCGCCGTCCCTGGCCCAGCAGACGGTGCCAGGTCAGCAGAGGTCAGGCTGCCCCGCTGGCTCTTCTGTGGCTCCGAGGGAAGAAACGCCCACCGCGGACGGAAACCGGCCCAAGGGTGCCGCACCGCTGGCTTGTATGGTTTGGGCATGCCCGTGCAACCTTAGGTTGCATAACAGGAAGCATCACAACAGAAGGCCTGGAAACAACTCTAGGACGTGCAAAGAAAGAGCGTAGCATCACGGAAAGCACGGTAAAATAGAGAAGTGGGAGACTTCAGCACCATAGCCAAAAATGTATTTATTCTGGCTCCAGAAGTGGGTGTGGTACTTTCCAATTTGCATGTGGAGACACCAGGGTTATTAAAAGGATGCTAACTTCATCCAGAGACTCTGAATTTGCGCACACCTTTAAGTCCTGCTGGTTCCCTTCATAAAAAGGCACCGGGCATCAAGTTGCAGAAGAGAATTCGCTCAGCTGGATAAGCAGGAGATATTTAATAGTTGAGCAAGGGAGAGAAAATGATTTAATGCAGTATGACTGGAAAATAAAGTTAATTTAGGCAGAAATAATGTTAAAGCTGTAGCATTTTGTTTGAAGATCAGATTTGCAATGCTTGAGAGGCTTTCACAATCTCACTGACAGAAACATCACTGCTCTTTCCTAAATAAATGGTTCCATTCTCTGGAGACCATATAGCAACAACTTCCAAACAACAGACTTGCAAAACTTTTCCTTATGTTGCTAATATCTCAGCAATCATCTTTGTGAGAGACACACCCAGGACGTTAACTGGTTTCCTCTAGGACACGTGTGAGTAAATAAACTTTTGATCAAACCAAGAGCCTGCTGCATAACCTATGTGCCTGTTTAGATAACTGGTTTTTAACTGAGAAACATTTGACCTATGGACATAAAATTCAACTAGATAGCTTTATTGACAGAGGTGACATTTTGAAAGTGATTTTGGAGGAAGTTGGCCACTAGAAAAAAAATCTGTCACTTGCATTAAGATAGGCATTGGCTTATGATGGAATATTGCAAGTGACTATGAAATACTGCAAATGGCTGCCTTGATTGGAGCTTCATGTGCTGGAAGGTTGAAGCATGTAAAATTATAAAAAGGTACTCAGCAATGTCTGGTGCAAAGTAAAATCAGGCTGGTTATCTCACAATGCTTTTTAACTTATAGAGGATACATAATAGATTATTAGAATTACAGACATCTCCATTTTGGCTTTGAAACTAAAGTTTAATTGCAGCCATTCAGAGTTTATAATAGCATGCATTATCTTTTACTCTGAACATTTGAAATGTAACCTTGAAAAAAGGTGATTTCATGCAGTGTCCTTTGAGTGGTAATAAAGCTTCCTTTGGGAACACATCCAACGTTCAGCCATCACAGATAGAGCCATGTTCCAGCTATGACATCAGTGGGGGATTTTGGTAGGATTTTTTTCAAGTTGCTGAGAATGTTAATAAAAAGAAATAATGGTGATGGGTCATGCAATATGAATAAATGAGCAACGCTGCATACTGTAGGCCACACAGGACTTATTCCTTTCATTCAAATAATCATTTTTAAAACTCCTAGATTGTGTCTTGGGCATGGAATAGGAAGAGTTCAACTTCTGGGGCAACCACTATGTTCTCTCAAGAAATTTTGGGACACAAGTGGACAATCTTTTTGTCTTCCAAGTTTCTTCTCTCCCCACAAGAGAGGACAAACCTGGAATTTCCAAACCACAGAAATATATATTAAGTGTTTCTAAGCCTCCTAGAAGATTAACGTTGGAGTATGATTAGAGCCAGTTTGGTCTAATGATGAAGGTGCCCGGGTAGAAACTGGGAGCCCTTGAGTTCCAGTCCGGCCTTAGGCACCAAAGTCAGCTCTCAGCTCAACCCACCTCACAGGGTTGTTGTGGGAAAATAGGACGACTATTAGATATGTTTACCAATTTTGTTTTGAAAAAAACAAAGACGGGATATCAATCATGTTTGGGAATGGGCTGCACTTGCGGCCCAACAGGCCTACTGAGCGTGTGGCACTCCTGCTTGGCAACTCGGCGCCGCCAATCCGCGGCTCGGCCCGCGCCCCGGGCGGCTGCCACAGCAGGATCCGCCGGAGGTTCGGGGCAAGCTGCACCTGCTACTTTCGCGGAGCGCGGGGGAAGCGTCTCCCCGCCCGGGAGGGCTCGTCGCGAGAGCCCCGGGCGCTGCTAGGCGGCTGGATGGCGAGCAGGGGAACAAGGCGGCGCGGAGGCCGCCATCCAGTCGGCAGCGGCCGCATTTCCGTCTCGCGCTTTCCGCGCTTGGCCGGGCGGGGCCAGCCCGGTGCGGGGCAAGGCGGCCCCTTTGCGGCGACCAGGCCCCTCTGGGTTACCCTGGCAACCGCTGCACGGGCCAGAGCGGCGCCCCTCACGTGACCTCCGAGGAGAGACTGGCTAATCCGCCGGATTTCTACCAATCCCAGGATGCCTCTCTCTCGTCCTCTCCCCTCCCTCTCCCGCTCGAGCTGCCGGGGAGAGCCCCACCTGCGCACGCACTCACGTACACGCGCGGGCACGCGCCCGCCGGGAAGAGGCTCGAGGGTCCTGGGACACGTCACGCGCGTCCCCGTCAGTGTCCGGGCTCCGCCTCACTGCCTCGCTCCGCCGCCAGCCAATGGGGAGGCCCGTCTCATCGGGCCAATGGGGAGGGCCGGCTCTGGCGGCGGACGGAGCGGCGGTGCCGTGAGGAAGGAAGCGGCGCTGTCGGGCGGCCGAGCGGGCCGGGCAGGGGGGCTTCCGTGCGAGCGAGCGAGCNAGAAGTTGCGAGCAGGCCTCGCGCGCTCGCCGACGGGCCTCCCGCCGCCACGGAGGCGGTGGTCGCCGCCGCCGCGCCGGGTAAGCACAGCGCCGAGGCCTCCCCTCCCCCACCGGCGGCCTGGGGGGATGCGGGCGGGAGGGGGGCGCGCGGAGCACGTGGTCTCGGGGAGGCGGCGGGGGAGGCCGAGGGCGAGCTCGGGGTCACCTCTGTGGGCCCGACTCCCCCGGCGGCCCTCCGCCCCCTCCCCCGGGGCTCCGCCGAAGCTCTCCGCGCTCGGAGGGTCGGGCGGCGGCGGAGGCAAGCGCAGGGCCGCCGTCGGGCTCGGCGAAGCCTCCCCGGGGTGGGAGGCGCGCCCCCGCCAGCCCTGCCCGGGCAGTCGGAAAGAGGCAGCTGCCGGGGCTTTCCAGCCCGGCGACGGAGAAGGCGGGGTGGGTGCCCGGAGGGGCCGGGCCCGCCTCGGGAGTAGGGGGACAGGGGAGACAACAGAAGGCCAGCAGGACGGGGGGGGGAGAAGCAACCTCCAGCCGGCTGCAGAGAGCCGGGCTCGGGCGCCCCGAGCCGAGGTGGGCGGCGCAGGTGAAGGGCAGGAGAGGCTCCTCGGCCCCGGGGAACCCCAGCCGAAGAGGAAGGTCTGCAGCCGCGGGGGGAGGGAGGGGTTGCCTTTGCCAGGGCTGATGCGGTGAAAATGACTCGGTTCTGCTAATCTCCATTTAATATTTCATCATCTCTCAGCCAGCGACACTGTGCCTGGGTAGGGAAGCAGCTCTCTGCCAGCAAGGCGGGCTGAACTGCATTTATTTTCTTGTTTAATCTCTCAGCTGCACAGCCTCTTCCTTGGGCTCCTTCCTAAAACAAGAAATAAAAAGCAGCTGTATGTCTTCAAACAGAATTTAAAACCTCCCACCCACCTCGTCTCTTAAGAAGAGGATTGATTACATGTTTAGAAAGGCAAATCACCCCCCCCCCAAGCCTTGAGGAACTGAGCCCTCCGATGCCCTCTGCCCTTTTCCCAGAGAAAGCAGCTGTCCTGCGAAGGATGTGTGCCTGTGGATTGAAAACCAGCCTGGTCATTGAGGCACAAGGGCTGGTGTGTTTGGATCTGCTTCTCCCCTTAAAATCGTTGCTCTGTTTTGATAGTTGCAGGAAGGAACTACAGCTCCCTCCCCCTCCTTTCCTCTTTTGTACATAGATCTCCCTTGTCACAAGGAACATGGCCGTAGAGGGAGCAGATCAGTCACTGTCTTTTAAAGCCAAATGCATCTCTGCGGATTGTTCTAGAAAGGGAATATGCACAGAATAGCCTAGCCAGGCAGGCAAAGAGGAGAAGAATAATCAGCCAATGAGGTTTTCATGGTTGTGCTTGGAAAATGTTATCAATAAAGTCCCTAGAAGTCATTCTGCTCTTAGGAAAAATGGAGCCTGCCTGTTGGATTTTTCACCTCTTCCCCTTTCCCTCACAGTTTTTTATGTGTTTTTCTGTGGCCCTAGTTTTATTCTGGTTTTTGTTTTTTAGTGAAATTCAAAAGACCCTAATTTTTGAATAGAGTTTAAGTGTTTGTAGTAAAACTTATTTTGACTGAAGTAGATGGCTTATATCTGAGTAAGAAAGAGCCCCAATTTTATGCTGAAAAGGAATTATTAAAATAAGTTAGAGATGCTGCTAATGATGAAAGTAAATGAAAAGTAAGATTCTTTATAACCTACAGTTATTCTAGGCATTGTAGGAGATAACGATAAGGCAGGCCCTGCTTATGCAAGGACAGAGGTCCCCAACCTTTTGGGCATCAGGGACTGGTTACATGGAGAGA